TATTTTTTCAGGATTTGATCCAAAATAGAGGTAAAACTATTAGTTTTGGGCTTTCGGGTTTTTTGGGCAGTTGCTATGATAGGTATATAAATAATCTATATTGATAAGTAGAATATGATTATACATTAACCTACTTATTTTTTTCAATTCGAAATTAATTACGCTTTTTCCTCCTATACCCAGAAAAAAGAGGTTATGTATACCTATAGGGTTACCGGATGTTGAGCTATATGATTATACTTCGTGCATAGAATCAGGTAAGTCAGGTATATGATTCTCAAATATAGCAATTTTTGCATGTAATTCATCCCGTTTTTTTTGTTGATAATTGACTCTTCTACAATATTTCCTGAATATTTCACACACATGCCATATGAAGAGGTAGTTGGCATACCACATTCACCACATGGAGTACGTGGTCGAATTTTCTAATGAAGAGCACATCCTTCTTGACGATAGCAACCCTTTCCACAAATACGTCTATCAATAAAAGTATATGGACAAGAATAAAATCCCATGCTAATATCAATAATTAATAACTTTCAAATTTGCATATATGAAATAATTATTTTTCGAATTAAACTCTTTGTAACAATATTTATATAAACAAATTCAAGATTACTACATATACTTTTTGTCAGATCAAACAACGCGCATATACAAACAATGCATATATACAAATCAATAAAATGTTTTGGTATTCACATTCAAAATATGATTATTTATCAGATGAAAACTCAGAATATAATAGCGATTCTGGGGACGATTTGCCAAATATAACAAGAGATAAGCAACGAGTTTTGCGAAAATATAAATATCTTAACCACTCTGATTGCCCTAGAAAAGAATGCCTTTATGCCTCGGAAAATATTCAACCTGAAGGATGGGTTATCCAGCAAGAGTTTCCTCATAGCTATAGATATTTCGATAACTTATCCAAGTTTGAAATATGGCATGAATCGATATCTGAAAACCAGCGTACATTTCATGAGGTTATTCGAATAGGACAGCCACAAAAAATTAAGATTGATATGGATGATGAATTGGAAAAATTTGCATCATATCCCGATCCTTTAGATAGAATAGAAAAGGCTTTAGGACAAAAATCATTTGATGGTTATATTGCTAATACACATCTTCATACATGGCAAAAATCTACAGATATAATGCGTAAAAAGGATGAGATTAGTTTGTATATCAAGAATGCTCTCCGAATTGCCATAAAAGAGATAAGTGGATTGAATCTCTTAAAGAATGACATTATTATAGCTGATTCCTCGAATGAAATGAAATGGAGTAAACACTTGATATTACCTAAGTATTTCGTTCGTGGTGCATCCAAAGCTCGAAAATTTACATTGCGAATCTTAGAACTTCTTCCAGAAAGAATGCATCCTTTCATTGATGAAAAAGTAAACAAGGATCTCCATTGCTTTCGACTAGCAGGAAGTCATAAAGCCAAAGACTCTTCACGCATTAAGCGCATATGTTCAAATCATACTTGGAGAGAGTCACTTATCACTCATATTGAGAAAGATTCTATAGAACTCTGGCCATATGAATGGGAAGAAGATAAAAAGCTGAAAAATGAGTCTGTCTCACATGAGGAGAGTGATACTGCAATAAAAATAGTAGAAAAACAATTTCCTTTTCTGTCTTATCGAAATTCTAATAATGGCTTCGATATTTTTGATAGAATTCGGCCTACAACATGTTCAATCTGTGAAAAAGAGCACACGAGAGAAGGTATGTATGGTAGATGGCGTGGATCGTATTATTTTCTTTATTGTTTTAGGCAAAAAAAGGAGAAATCCGGTATTGAGGTTGTTAGAGCAGATCATAATAAGAAAAAAGTTATTCCTTGTTTAGATAGATTAAGAGCTCGGCTTTAGCATAGATCACAGTCTCATTCACAAAATAACTTTACTGCTGTTGGAAAGAACATCGAAATATATAATGCTAAAACAATGCATAGCTATAATTTACAAGCTAAACTTACGAGTGGTAACCAGCACTTGATGCTTATTAAAGGACATTGTGGTGTTGGCAAATCAAATGAGACAGCAGAAGAAATAAGAACACTTTGTCATTCTGATGGATCTTCCATTTCAACTCTCATCATATCTGGTCGGCGTTCTCTTGCTCATGGGCAAAAAGTTCTTTTCGAAGGATTTAAGTCTTACCTCGAGCTGGATGCAAAAAAACTTAATCCTAAAGATACCCCTAAACTCATTATCAGTCCGGAAAGCATTCACAAACTTGGAGCAACTGGCTATGATGTGATTATACTGGATGAGTTTGAAACAATCACTCAAAATTTTAGTGAACCTACCATGAAAAAACCAAAGCTAAGTTATAATGTATATAAATCCTTGCTTCAATCTGCATTATTAATATTGGCTTTAGATGCTATATTAGATTCAGACTCGCTTGTACATTTACAAACCATTTCGAAAATAGATGCCGAAAATTCAACCATGATATGGAACCAGCATATATGAGATAAACGTCATGCTCTTATACATATTAATACCAAAAAATAGAATGTTGAATTAATTAGAGCTCTGAGACAAGGATTAAAAGTCTATATTCCAATGTTTGCTAGTGCGGAAATGGCAGAGGCCCTTTATAAGGAATTAGAATCTCAAGGATATCAAGGCAAGTGTTTTTCCAAACGACTATTAGAAACTGAGAAAAAAGAAATATTTGCCGATATCAATAATGCAGTGGCAAATCTTGACTATTTGATAGCAACTCCTGTGATGACTTGTGGAGTAAGTATAACAGTCGAAAACTTCGATATGACGTTTGCACACTTCCGCACATTAGCTGGTCTGACAAGCAATGAAGCATATCAGATGTTGCACCGCATTCGAAAGCTAAATCAAAATGTAGTACACATTCTAACGGATTTACGTAGCGATAATTTGCCAACAGACTGTGAGGATTTACTTCGTTTTATCAGCTATCGATGTAATATCGCAGAGTATCCTGATCTAGAAGAGGCTCATTGTGATAAGATACTTACTCCAGATAGCAAATAGATTTTTAAGCCAAATGCTTCTTTGGAAACTCATCTTTATAACACATCTCGTCGCAATGCATCTAGAAATGATTTTGTTAGTTTACTAACTGATCGTCTTAGCGAATGTGGTTATAATATTAATATTGCCAAAGACTGCCCTTCTATCGACTCAAAACTTACAGAAAATAATGAAGGCAAAGAATTACCTTTACAGGTACGTTCAATCAAAAAAACTCTGGATATAGAAAAATATTCAATGATCACTAATGCTCAGGTTTTGAGTGATATAGAAGCTTTGGATATTCGAGAATGTTTAGAAAGAGAAGAGAATATAAACCCAGCCTATAGACTTGCTTTGCAGAAATACAATCTCGCATCTTTTTATAAAAAGACCCCTGAAGATATAACTAAAGATTTTGTAGAAAAATATTCCCAAAAAGAGATGCGAAATGCGTATAGTGCATTAGTTCAAGCTGTGAGAATTATAGATTTATGGTTATTGGAGACTCATGAGAGAAGGCTTCTTGCGATTCATTATTGCCAAAAGTTATTGCTTTAGAGGAGATTTTACAAGGGATAGGTTTTTCTTCGGGTATTCATACATCTTATACTTTATCACGTCAAGATTTTGATACTAATTTACCAAACTTCCTACCAATTTATAAGAAAAATGAGCGTCGTTACTATGCAATATTTGGGAAAAAATGGAGACCGCACGCTAA